GTCACGCGGCCTCGCGCGGGCGCCTCTGCTGCGCACGCGGGAGGCTTCTTCATCCCGGGAGAGGCTGTGGCTGGGCTGAAGGGCTGCTTGAAGCAGGGGGCCGGGTGGCCTTCCCCTCTCCTAGGGATCAGAGCACGGGCGAGGCAGAGCCCAAGGTATCTGCTGAGCAGCAAGCTGGGATCCGGCAGCAGTCCCTTCCCATTCACTTCCTTGCCCGGTCCAGCCTTGTTCCCTTTGTGTTTCTGCCCTCCCTCTCTCCAGCTTCTTCCCAGTCCCGCTCATTCCCCCTCCTCTCCCAAGACCTTATGTTGCCCTGACCCTCCATCGAGCAGGGCATCCCGGAACCGCTGCACGAGCATCCATGGGAGCTGGATCCTTGCTCCGAGGCCGGACGCTCTGCATCCCTCTCCTTCCCCACAGGTCAGGCTGGGGAGCAGCAGATGAAGATTTAACACTGCTGGGCACACCGGGTTATCGCCAGCCTGCGCTCCCGTCCCTTCCTTTACGCCTGCCCCTCTGCACAGTGTGGCAGGCAGGGAGTTTTGGGGTGAAATCAGCAGCGTTTTGTTAACGGGGCCCTTGCAGAGGCCGCTCACGCGCCGTGGCCGGGGCGCAAAGCATTTGCGCTCGCGCTTCCAAACCTGGCTGCGGGCGAGCTCGTGGTTGGCAACCACGTTCTGGTCATCACTGGAAAAACACCTAATCCCAGCTTGGTAAGTCTGTGTTTTATTGTGTAGGTCCTGCACACCTTCCCTTCTGCCACACCAATCTCCCTGGAGCCACGAGAAGTGTTGTTTTATTAGTGTTTTTAATGGGTTTTAATGCTCAGTGGAGGTGCTCAGCCTGAATCTCCCATGCAAAGTCCCTGCTGTAGGTGCCTTTTTCATGACGGATCTGCACAGACGTGCTCCAGGCCTGGGTCTGGTTCCATGTGGCTACCTGCCCCGACAAAGATTCCCTATGGGAATTGCCGGGCAGGACTCTGCTGAGTGCAAGCATGGAATGGGACTCTGGAAAGGGAATGTTGAATAGCCAGGGAATTGCAAACTCTTGTTCTGCAGTGCTGGGCCTGGGCGCACACGTGCCTTGAGCATTGGTGTAGGAGGGCAGTGGGGTGATGCTCTATAGGGCTGTGCCCAAGTTTCCTTTATTAATTAAAGAAATTAAGCTGAGGACGGTCTCTCTGCAAGTTAATACCTGGGACAAGTAAATCACACTCACTAAAAATGGCCAGGACTGCAGCCATGAATGGAGTGGTTCAGATTGACTTCGTTGCTTAAAACTAAACAAAATGGGTTAGTGAAGGGATTAGGTAAAAGGATTCAGGCAAAAGCCCTGAGTTCTTGAGATGAATGGTGAATTTCTGGCTATAATACTATTTTGACAAATACATTTGAGACTTCCACTTTAGGTGAGGAGCTGATGATAAAAGCACGAAAGTGGAATTGTAAATCTCATGTAGCAGGACATACCGAGCAGACAGAATTCGCTCTTCAAACAGCCTCATTTTCACAGGATCAAACTGAGTTCTTAAGACTTGAACCGAAATAGCTCCATCCCTTTTCCTTTCCTGTTTTTCCTAGCCTAAGAATAAGGTAGTCTTTACACATCCTGGCAAATGAAAGGAAAGGAGATGGGACTTCATGCAGCACGCGATCCCTTTAGAAAACATGATGTATCCCCAGGCCAAAGAACCTGCTGCTGGGAGTTAAAAAAAAAAGCCCTGCTCTGGCGAGGGGCAAATTAATCAGCACGTGTTAATTCAACGTTGGGAATGGGAAACAAAGCACCAAGGAAGCCCAAAGTTAACACAGCGCTGCCCTGGTTTGTGCTGGGTGGTTGGCGTGCTCTCCCCATCACTAATTATTTATATAGTGTGGCAAATGCATGATGCATTTTTCACAAAGCAGCAAGGCTCGATTCCCATCCCTGACAGCAGGGACGTGCTCCCGCTGTTAGAGGAGAAAAGCGAAGATGAGATCCAGGATTTTTAGTGGGTTAAATAGGCTGTTTGCGAGGCTGCAGAACATGAACCGGTCTCTGAAGAGTCCAATTTTTAGGGCTGTTGCTTCCTCCTTCCCCTCATTAGGCAGGTTATGGCTCCCCTGCAGTGCCGGGATGAGGAGGGCAGGATGCTCCTACCTTCCCCTGCTCTGTTCGGCTGCAACTTCTCCCGGGCTCACAGAGCGGCTGCGTTTGCAGCCGGATCCTCAAGGTGCTGGGAGAATTATTTGTATTCCTCGCCTAATAGAAGGAGAAGAAATGGGAAGAATTCCTATGCAAAGTGACTTTTGGAGAGAGCGGCTTAAAACCCAGTTGTGGAGCTGGAGGAGCCTGTGAAAGAATTCTAGATTTCAGCCCTCCTAAATCAATTGCCATAAGTTATTTTTAAGCAGCGAGAGGAACACTCAGTTCTGCATGGCCATGCTGTGGGCAGGCACCCACACTCATCTGGTCAGCTGGGGACATCAACTTCCCTATTTCCTGGTGTGAGAATGCAACTGGTGGAATATTTCAGCCTGAGTTTTGCAGAAGGCACTGTGTTTTTGTGTGTATATATTCTTTTGCCTGGGAAAATTGAGATTGAGTAAGTGGAAGGGACTCTTCTTTATTAGTCCTCTGTCCCCTTTCCTTGTACAAAAGAGCAAGTGAGATTTGGTGGACTGGAGGTGGTTTTGGGAATGTTCGTGGTTTTTAAAGAGGTGGGGACTAAGAACCCACGATGCAGGAGGGAGAAGTGGGTTATTTGTAGGCTTGGTTCCCGTGAGACAAAACCTCTTCCTTCTTTCCCCAAACCTTGACCTAGTGGGGTCTTGGGAAGTAGGTCTGCTGACCCAAGCTTAAATTATTTATTTATAAGCGCAGAAGGCAATTTATTCTGGAACAGGATGTGCTATCCCCCTATGGAGGGAGTCCGGATGTCTCGGCCAGCTTGGGAATGCTCCCGTTGTTAGTGTGTACTTGGGAGCCCAGCTTTGAAGTATCCATGAGCCTCCCACCTTTCCCCTTGGAGGGCACAGAGCATGCTGAGCTAAAATGCTAGTGCTCCTTTTGTTCAGTAAGTTCAACAACAACAAAGTCGTTAACATTTCCAGCAGCAGGGAATGTGTTTGTGTTTCCATTCCCCCCGTGGGATAAAGGCTGAGCTGCCTTGCCTCTAATGTTGCCATATTTTTTTTTCCTTATGGGCCAAGAACTGAAGTGGAAAGTTTCGGTCTAGAAGGAACATTTTGGAGGAAATCAGCAGTTTGCAGCATAAACCTTGTGGCTGTAAGGCCTTCTTGGAGCTATTTGCTGTTGTTATAGGGGGCAGAGAGCTGCAAAAGCCAAATCTGGCATCAGATCCTGGTTTCCATGAAAGGTGCCTGATACTGCAAGTGAACTATAGAGATATGGGTCAGCCTGCATGAATCCCCTTGAAGTTTAGGAGACTACCTGATGCTGCGAGTGAACTATAGAGATACGGGTCAGCCTGCAACATGAATCCCCTTGAAGTTTAGGAGACTTTGGGACTGGGCTTGTATCACGGCTATGTTGAACCATGACAGTGAAATGCTCCTGGATGGTAGCACCTAGAAAAGCGAAGGAAGATTTAGTCTTGTGCAGCACGTGGGTTTGTGTTAAACTGTTCTTTCTCCTGCACGGGATGGAGAAGATGCTGCAGAAGATGGGACACAGCGTGTGCACCCGAGTGCTGCCTCCTGGCAGGGTGGCCAAAACACAGAACTGTGTATCCTCAGGGGCACCAAGAGCAGAAGCGGATTTTGGGTGCTTGTACGGTGGGTGTCACTGCCTAGAGCCTCCACTGACAGTTTGATGGTTTTCTTAATTACACCTCTCTGTATTCGCTGCTGTCTCCCTTCCATCCCTCAAAGTTAACAAGCTTTAGAGGTCTGCAACCATTCAGCGTGGTTTTTTAGCCAGGCCATTTTAATTGCCAGTGTTCAAATTCATTTCGCTGACCTTGTCCCCAGCAGCAGCCGCCGGGTGTGCGGCACCACCGGGACGCAGCGTGCGCAGGGGTGAGGACAGGCGAGGGGTCCTGACCGAGCGTGGGCAGCAAGCGACAGGCAGCTCGTCCAGAAGCATCCACGGAGCATCTGCCCTGCACATGGCCGTGGCACCACACAGAAGCTGGAAAATAAAAGTGCGAGGGGCAGAGCTGATTTGTGAGCTGCAGCAAAGGAGCAGAGATCAAGAACGTTTCTCCTTCCTTGCTCCTGCAATAGCAGAGACCTTGGCAAGCAGTCACATGTAGTTGACTTGCTCACAGTTGTGCCTCGTCGATGGCTTGTCTCTCCCACCAAGCATATTTCTTTGTATTTAGTTGCTTCCAAGTTGTTTTGCGTTCTTGGTAGCTCGACTTTGCTGTTTCAGAGCGGCAAAGAGCAGCTCAGCTCTTGCCACCAAACCTGCAAGGAAGGTTCCTGCAGGAGCAAGGTGTTGCACAGGAGATGCTTGAGGTAGGGGCAAAAGCCTTGGCCTGCACTGGGCTTTTCAAGCCTTGTCCTGGACCTGCTGCCTCATACGGGTGTTTGTGCCATGGCTTTGTATCCTCCCAAACTTTGTCATCATTCAAGGAACTCAGGATCCCAGCACCCAGGAGATGCCCAAAGGGTCCATAAGAGTGGAAGGGACATGGACACCCACCATATCCTACATGCAGGTACCTATAGGACTCGGTAGTCCCTTCTTTTTCAGGGCCCCAACTACGCTGCTCTTGGAGGCTTGTCCTGAGCAAAACCGAGGGCTTTGGCGTGGTGGCTACTGTGAGATGTTGCAGAATCTCATGAGCCAAATGCCTTGAATTTTTAGCCGTGCATTAGAACTGTGGGATTCCTGGCAGCATGTTTGAGACAAAAGAGCGCTCTGTGCTCTGAGAGTTTTATCCCTTCTAGATTGAACGTGTTGGACAAGCTCTTCCAGGTTAGTTAGATATTCAGCAGCAGCTCAGGTCTCGTAATTGGGTAAGTGTTGGGGGAATAAGGCATATGTAGGGCTTGGTAGCGTCTTATGCCAAAGGAGGAAATCATCCATGACTCCCTTGGAGATACATGAATTTGTCCCATTAACGTTGTGGGACTCTGAAGCCCCTGGAATTCGTAATCGTTAATGTATCCTGATAAGCTGGGAGTGCTGGGGACAGGACAGGGGCTGCCGGGGCGCGCAGACTGTAATTCCCATTTGTGCAAATGGGCAGGAAGGCTGGAGGACGGGACCTTGGGATTATCGGCACATTTGGAGAGCTCAGCACAGGCTGTTCTGTTGGAGGAGGAGAGAATTACAGCTCTAGAAACTGCTAAGGGATTAAAAAAAAAAAAAACGTAACAGGATAAGACAGCATCACTCTGCCTGTGATCGGCGGCTTTGCTGTGGGCCTGGGGGATGCAGCCAGGTGACGGTCCCTTCCGAAAGCAGCCGCCGAGTCCTCAGTGCTGCTCTTAGCCCTTCTTGGTGCTCAGCACCTGGCTCTTTCGTCTCTGGGCTCCGTTTTCTATTTTCCATAAAGTTGAGCTGGTGCTGGCACCGGGATAGCTCACTGCTTTAGCTCCCTTACGGTGTAAACCAAGAGGCAGCACGGGCTAGAGGTTGTTTCAGGGCTGTAGAGCACACAAGGGACCCCTGTTTACTGGTTTTATGGCTCATACGGTTTTAAAAACTGAATAAAAAGCGTAAATTTAAAGACTCATATGAGTAAGAACTCGTAACAAGGTAGCAGATCATGGGAGATGCATGTATGGGTGACTGGAGCTCTAGAAAATGTTCCTTGTGAAGCAAAAAGGGAAAAATAACGTGTCCAAAGTTGTTTAAATATAAATGGTCATGACAGTGCCCTGAGGGCAGTGAGATCTTTCGCCTTGTAAACTCTGTTGGGCATCTCCTGTAGTTGAAAAATCCCAGTCCTTTTCAGGACACAACATCATCTGTGGAACTCGCTAACACGGGGTGTTGTTAAAGCAAATTATATAGCGAGGTGCAAAAAGGTGTTGGGTGTTTATATGAAGAAAAAAATGTGATTTTAGCACTAAAATTAAAATTTATATATATATATATATTTTTTGTACCTCCTGGTGTCCAGGCCTGGGCAGGAAGCAGTGCCAGGAGGTCACCTCCACCTCCAGGAGGAGGGGAGCTGACGCGGGGCTCTCGCGTTGTGTTTCAGGGGCTCGTGCCCGGAGCCGGGACCTCCCCCCTCA